TTCATCCTCTCGTTTTGGAGAGCTGTCTCATATGATGTTGGGGAATTGGTTTACCCTCTTGCATTGGAGAGCATGATTGGTCCCTCGAGGGGCACAATTCCTGCGATGAGTCCCTACAAAGGGCACGATCTTCTTTTGAAGTGCAGGAGTGATCAGTTGTTGTAAGCATGCAGTCGAGCCAAGTTGTGATTACTTCTAAATTCCTCATTGAAAAATGAGTGAAACGAACGAGAACTTGGTTGTAAGGTAGGAACTGCATAACAACTAGATAGTCCTCGACTTGTGAAGTAGTGCCGGCTTATAAGGTGGTGCCTATCGGGCTGCTTGAGTCTTCGGGCTTTGATGTAATGGGAGGTCACACATGGTACTTCCTCATATTGTAGGTGCTCCACTACTTTTCCATCTTTTTATCGTTTCATGGTGGCGAGGGTGTAATTACTCTTGCCATCTACTCTGCTGATCTTTTACGGACCTTCTTAGATATGATCCATCTTTTTAAAGTCTTTTCTGTGAGCAGTGATGAAGGCTTTTCTTAGGACAAGATCTTTGGGCTGGAACTGCTAGATCTTGGCCTTTTTGTTGTAGTTGAAGATGAGCTGTTGCTGGTTGGCTATAATGCGGGTAATGGTCTGCTCGCGCTTCTTTTCTGCCGGATCTAAGCTTGTGGCCATCTCCTTACTGTTCTGCTCAATGCTTAGTAGTAGAGCAGTGATACTTGACTTGATGACATTGGGATGAATGATTGCTTCTAAGCCAAATGCCAAAGAGAAAGGAGTCTCACCAATTGCTCGTCTTTTAGTGGTGCAATATGCCTATAGACATCCGGGAAGTTCGCCTGGCCATTTTCCCTTCTTGTTGGTAAGGGATTTCTTGAGGCAGTCGATGATCATTTTGTTGGATGCTTCGGCCTGCCTATGGCCTTGAGGATATCTTGGCGTGGACATGTGTTGCTTGATGCCATACTTTTGGAAGGACTTTGCTATACCTTTGCCCACGAATTGCGGGTTGTTGTCAGTGACAATAGACTGTGGGATACCAAATCGACAAATGATGTTTCTCCATATAAAGTGCTCTATGTCCATTTGAGTCGTGGTTGTCTTGGGCTCTACTTCTACCCATTTCGTGAAGTAGTCGGTTGCCATGATCATCATGCCTCTGCCCTCAGTAGTAGGCGACATAAGTCCTACCAGGTCGATTACCCACTGCATGAACGGCCAAGGACTCGTATGCGGGTGTAGCTCACTGGTAGGCAGTGTTGGTATTGGCTTATAGTGCTGGCAACGGTCACAATTTTGTACTAACTTTTTAGCATCTTAGTGCATGGTAGGGAGTCATGGAGCTAAGGCTGTGTTACACGGAGTAGTAGATGCTCAACTGCTGGTATTGGACCATTTTATAGTTAAATTATGGAGCAAGGGTCTACTAAGGCCCTGTGATATGCAGTAGGAGGTAGTGCTCAATTGCCGGTATATGTTGCTCCCATGTAGAATCTTTTGGGGCGACAAGGACAAAACTTGCTTCCGAGTGTGTCATTCCAGTGTTTGTCTACCCTTGGCATGTCTTTTGGGCCGAGTTATTGTCTTCGTCAAAAAACTTTGCAACTGGCAGGGTCTATGCCTTTATTGTCGCGCGTTTGGATTGGGCGGAATAATGCAACATGAAGATGACTGCGTGCTTTTGAAGGTAAAACTTAAGCTTTCAGGTTGTAACAACTATCACCAAAGTTAGCTTTTGAATTTCTAATAGCATCGATGAGACCTTTTGAACTGTGGAATACAAGTAGTCGGGCCCCCAGCTCTTCTCGCATAATGGTAGAGCTTATTGCTGCTTCAGATATCGTCAAATATATGAATCATTCCTCCTCTGCTTCCAGTTTGGATAATAGAGAGGTGATGTCGGGTACTTCTTTAAGTCCTTGAATGTGCATTGGCGAGCCTCGTCCTAAAGTGCATGCTTCTCTGCTAGAGCGAAATAGTCTGCTAGAGTTAGGCCAAGTGCATACTTCTCTGGCAACACATTGGGTTCGTGTTGGGCTTGGAGTGACATGGCTTAGGTCATGGCCTTGGTGCCATGAGTCTTGGATGGCACGGCTCGGGCTTGCTTTTGTGGCACAGCTCGAGCCGTGGTAGTGGTGCCATGGACCTCGCCATGGGTGGCCACCGCGGTGGTTCCCATGGTGAAACCTTGTGGCGGTGGTGCCGTTCCCCCTAGGATCACATTTAGTCTCGTTGAATCGCCGCGGTCCCATTTCTTGAATATTGTAATTTTCACTCACGGAGTTTTCTAAATTTCTAGCCATCTTATTTCTCTTTTTCGTTTTATCAAAGAATCTTTGCAAATAAAAAATTCTAATAATAAGAACGTACGAAAAATACAAGTGGACTAGAAAATAGAGAAAAAACCTTTTTATGCGAGAGTCTTTTACGAGTGTGAATTTCAACTCTCAATGAAAGCACCAATTTGTGGATGCAAATTTCTTCCTTCTTGATCTTGGACAAAATTGCACCTACAAAAGAAATAACACCTTAGGTCAAGGCCAAAAGCCTCACGCGCCCATGATGAATGGGGGGGAGGGGCGGTTTGGCCGAAAAACCTCCGATGCCAAAGTTAGAATTTAGAGAGAAAAGTGTTTGAGAGTTTTGGAGAATTTTAGCAAGAGTGAAAACTCTCGTTTTTAGAGAAAATGGGTAGTATATATAGGGCATGGCCGGTCCCCTTTGGAGAAAAGGTGGCCGGCCTTTGGGATGTTTTTTGGGTGTATTTTGTGGTTAATGGGTGATTTATTTGGCAATTAATGGATTAATTAGGTAGTTAATCCATTAATTAGCCAAATAACACATTTTAGAAGGAATAATTTTGGAGGTTATGGAATGAATAAATAAATAGCTAATGGATTAGCTAAAAAGGGGAAAGTGAGGTAAAAGATATATAGAATGAAATAGGTTTTGGGAGTTACCTTGTAGAAGGGATTTGATGAGATAGGTTTTGAATTGTTGCCTACTTTGAGCACTTTTGGCTTGGTTGAAGGATGATTGCCCGCTACTCGCGCGTAGGAATCTCGTTATGCCTCAAGGGTATTTTTGTCCTCTTACGTCCAAAAATCCACATGTCGCCTTGTGATTATTTTTGGCTCCACAATAATCCAATTCTATGTATTTAGTTCAAGCATGAAAATTGGATTCGCAGCTATATACATAGTGCTCAAATTATCACTGAAAAGAAGAATAGGACATAGGGACGATTAGTGGACCTCACAAAGAACATAAGATAACCAGATAGATTCTAGATAAGCGTGACCAAGAACCCATTACTCTGATTCAGCACTCGAATGAGAAACTAGAGGTTGCTTAGAAGAGCCCTAAGAAATAAGGTTAGGACTACGAAAAAGCAAATACCCAGGCGTAGAATGGTGGGTGTCAGGGCATCCAACCCAATTAGCATCAGAAAAGCCACGTAAAAGATGGAAGATTCGAAGAACAATGAAATTGAATCTCAAGCTCCTAAATGCTCTTGATGTAGCGTAAAGGCATCACTAAGATGCATAGTACAAAGATGAGCTATAAATTGGGCTACATGATTAACGACAAAGGCATTATCAAGACGTGTGAGAGTGAGATAATGAAAATAACTAACCAGTTGTCAGAATTCACTGAAGTTTAGAAGTTGAGTCACACCTTATTGGATAATTGTGCGTGACTTGCTATGGGAGTGGAGCACGGTTGGCAGTCAACCATGTTTGAGCATTTCAGAACATCAACAACATACTTTGTTAGAGATAAATGAAATTCAGAGGCAAGTGGCCGAGAAAGTAGTATACTGCGCCGATGTCCTTAATTTCAAATTCCTGGGCCAAAAAAGCAACAAATCGAGATATAGCTATCTGATTATCACTAATTAATACAATATCATCAACATAAAGTAGAATGACCAATTTATACTTAACGCAATGAAAAGTAAATAAGGAAGGGTCCACTTGACTTTGAGCAAACCCTTGGTGAATGACTGAACTGCTGAAACCAGGCATCAGAGCCTTTTTGAGGCCATCAATTGCCTTGTGGAGGTTACACATGATTGAGCCGTTGAGGGTCAACAAAACCAGTGGGTTGTACCATGTAGATATCCTCACTAAGATGGCTATAAGAACACATTCTTACATTAAACTAGTGAAATAGTCGTCCACGAGTAACAACAAGACTAATAATTAAGCGAATGGTGGCAGGTTTGACCAGGGAACTGAAGATTTCCTCAATAATCAAATATGTGTTGCTAATGCTACCTTTTGGCCACGAGACGGGCTTTATAGCATTCTTAGAACCATCAAGCATGACGCTTAACTTTGAATACCCATTTACAACCAACAACATTCCAGTGAAGATGAGGCATAAGAGACCAAGTTTATTTTTAGCAAGGCATTAAACCTTAATCACAGAGGTACATCATTTCAGAATACGAGCTACCTGCGTAAAACAAGTAGGCTCTATAGGGCAGTGAGAGTAGTATTGGAACTTAACCTTTACTTCAACATTGTCATAAGATTACAAATTGATGATGAACTATACGAAGTATGTAATTACCTGAGTAGTATGAGAGAAGATATATGTTTGTAAACATGCGGAAGCCATTGAAGCTAAACAAAGATAAGTTTTCTACTTACCTTGGAACCTAAATCTTAATCTAGTAATATGACTAGTGGCTGGTGTTTGAGCGTGCTTTCAAGTGAGCAATGACCTTTCTCTTATTAACAAAAGACCTGAACTACTTTCCACCTATCGAGGGATGTAACTGGTATCCTAAATGTCCAATCCAAAAAGTAGTGGAATTGCCCACAAAGTAGTGGAATTACCCATGACTTTAAACATGTCGTTCGCTAATTCCACCAAGGAATTGATCAATATTAACTAATTCTTTAAAGGATAATGTCTAGTATCGTCGGTGTGGAGTTTGGGTACAAAATACCCTGTTTTGGAACAAATCACCTTCGAATGGGAGGAAGAAAATGGTTACACAGCAGGTTGAGTCGTTGCTGAAGCTGCAGGAAATGCGGACATGAATTGCTCTGGAGCAGCAGGGGCTGCTATAACTGGACCGAGCTGAAGAGGCTGGCCAAAGATAAATATGGTAAATGCTGGAGGCACATAAGAAATTGGCTGAAACACAGGCCCAACCACGTAGTGACTTGGAGCAGAAGCAGTAAGAACAAGGCTTGCATCAGCAAGAGCAAGGGTGTGGCCCTAATCATGCGATGGGCTAGGGCAAAATTAGATATAGGAAATGTGTTAGGTAAGACCTAAAAAGCAGCAGGGTGACTAACCAACAGGGTGCATCCCGAGACAGTGCTAGGGGTAATAGACTGAGCAAACGAAAATGTGTTTTTGTAAAAAATCACATGGCAAGAGATCTACTCACAACTAGTGGCAGGATCGAGACACCAGTAATCCTGGTGTTCCGTTAGGCCATTCAGTTGCAGAGTGTGGGGACAAGAGATACGATGTACAATGCCATGGATATGGAAAAATCACGAAAGATGTGATTCGCATACTCTGTGCCATTATCACTTTGGAAAAATGTAATAGAAATGTTGAAAATATTGCTAACCATAAGATAAAGACTTTTAAAGTGGGAGAAAACATCACTTTTATTATGCATAGGGGAAATCCACGAGTATTGACTATAATAATCTTTAAAAAGAACATAATACTTAAATCCAGTAACCTAAATATTAAGAGTCATCCATGCATCAAAGAGAAAAGGTGCAATGAATTAATGAATTAACGCACAAAGCTCACAAAATAACGTAGGAGAACTAGATAAACCTAAATTTAAATGAGAAAATACTTCATTGAATGGATGACCATGACGTGAATGCCAAATAGAGAGGGAGGCGGCATAGAAGGCAGACAAACAAGACGAACTATGTGGCATAGGTTTAAGAGGTTATAGCCCATCTTTAGAATCGCCTTGAAAGATAGGAGAACCAAATTGTAAGTCTGTAATAAGAGAACCATAAGGAAAACTAGTAACAACAATATTATTGTTACAAGTGAACTTAGAAGCCAAAAGTAGATTCTTTTTCAAACTAGGAACATGCAAACATCTTTAAGAGTGAATTTATATGAACCTAGGGGATGGGAAATTGTACCACTATTAGCAATAGGAAGGGCATCTCCGTCACCAAGAATTGGCAGAAGTATTACCACAATTGTTGGTCACAAGATGGGTGGCACCAGTGTCAAGAAACCAAGTTGGATCCGAATCATAGCCTAGAGCAGCATGAAACCTAGCGACGGAGCAGTAGGACAATGAATGCATGTTGTGAAATGATGACCTAGCGAGTTGCAGTAAGTGCACCAAAAGGAGGGCAGAGCACCAAAGACACCTAGACCCGCAAAATTGGTGGATAACCCCAAAATGAGCCATCGCGACTACCACTCGCATGGCCACAACAAAAACTACCACGACCACCATGCCAGGAAGAATGAAAAGGCTGGTTAGGGCGTGGAGGAAGGTGATTGGTACAATGTGCCTGGTAGGGAGCATGAGCGTGGGCTAGGGCAAAAGGTTCAAGAGGATCCACGACTTGATAGACAAAAGCAGTCGAGGCCTACTATTGCTACTGTTTATTATTTTCCTTTTCATCTTTTTTTTTTTTGGGAACAAATGATATTATCTACACTAAAGGGATTGCGAAGTGGGCCCTCACAATAGGTTAGTATTTAACGAAAATCGAACCTAAAACCTTATCTCTTGTGTTTTGTATTTCTTCAACTTTTTCCCACCCCCTTTCTTAACCTTTGGTCATCCTTCTTATATGTTTCTTACATTTTCCTTATTTAACGAATAATAATACTAAAAAAATCAAAAACAAAATAATTACCAAAACAAAGTGTAAATGATAAATTATTAAGCAATCAAAAGTACGTAAGCTAAAGCCTAATCCGCTCCGTCACTCAGATCATCTCAACCAAACGAGGGCCAGAGGGTTCGTTTTAGCCATCTGGCCCTCCAAGATATTAATATTTTAATGAATAGTACAGGACCATATTTGCCTCCATCTCTAACCGATGACCAAAGGACCATAAGGCTTGTTTTAGCCCTGTAACAAAAAACGCCTTCAATTGAGGGTCAAACATAATTTATTATTTAAATTTAAAAACTACAACAACTTAAATTTAAAAAGGGTGAAAATTATTTGAAAAATGGTGTAGGAATGGCTTAGGTATTTATAGAAAGAAAAAAGAAGGGGAATTTAAAAAAAAATTAAAAATTTGGCCCCAAAAAAAAAAAAAACAAAGAAAGGACAATATTGTGAGATATATTTGACAAAAAATGTATTAATAATGAAAAATCTAGCCCGGCCCGAGTTGGTTGGCTGGCTAGATTGGGCCAGCCGGTTGGCTCTTTAGCCCTTTTTTGTCCTGTGGGGCTCACGGGCCCTTTGGCTTAGCCCTCGATTGGAGACGGTTTTCGGGCTATTTTCGGCCCTCTGGACCTTTCGGTTGGAGATGGTCTTAGTATTATGGTTTGGTGGTATTCTTCTTCACTTAGAAGTGAGAAGTCTTAGGTTCAAATCTCGTGGATGGCGAATTCGATACTAAATTAGGTTGTCTATTGTGTAGTTTTACCAAACTCCCCCTCTTTTTAGTATAAAAATATTGATGTACTAAAAAAATAAAAAAATAAATAAAAAAAACACCTAATCCACCCATTGTGTAATGGTAGGTGAGCCACAAATGATGTTCCTCCCAAGCCGTGAAACATGAGAAATTTTTCATTGTGACGGGAATACAAGTGGTGCACCATGTGTTTTGATAGGAATGGTGGGAAATTTTATTTTTTAAGTTATTTACTTTTTAGCATACATATCTCACAATTTGTTTAGTGACACGTGATGTACCATCCCGAATACCGATGACACTGAAAAATCTCACACGCATTTTTGGCGGTTTCTTTTTGGGGCAATTATCAATAATTAAAAACCAAGAACCAAGAATTACAGCACGTGTCCAAATCTGTGCATATCAAACTCGTGCCTTGTGATGCATATCGTTCCTATCTATGTCCATGCTTCCTTGGATGATATATATTCAATTTCTTGTATTCTAATTAAATTAAATTTTCAAAGTAATATTACAATTTAATAAGTAAAAAATTTCAAATTTGACTCATAATCTCACATAGATTATAAGGATGTATAATATTTATGTTGATTTTGATACTTAGTAAATGACTGATTTATAGGTCACAGTGGAATCTTTTTGTTTAGAGTATGGTTGTATCAAAAAATTAAATTAACTTAATACTTTCAAACAATCCACATACATTGCGTCACCAACCATGATCACTACTTATCTTCACACATGTCAAACGGCACCACATAATATTTTTGAGTTTTGACCTGCTTTTATCCGTGTCGCTTTCGAGTGTGCTCCCACATGGACATTACCCTCTTCGTATAAAAGGATTTCTTTCTTCGCATGTGGAAACTTCAATTTAAAGGGGTATGATATCCAAACATTCTTTTTTACTTTTCTCACATTTTTTTAATTTTTAACCGTCGGATCAGATGAATTGAAGAAGATCAAATGACAAAAATTAATAAGGGATGTGGAAGAAGTAAAAAGAGGTGTGTGGATAACACATCTCTTTCATATTAACCATGATTCATGAAATCAAACTATGATGTAATCATCTAACGATCAACATGATAATACAAGGGAATGGAAACTTTCAAAAAGGAAGATCGAGCAATAGCTTATTTCTTAATTTATTAATATTTCTCTTTTAAGTATCATACGAGTAAACTACTTTATAAAATGCAAGTGGTTTGTAGTTTAATTGATTAAAACCATTTGCTTTTACAATCGAGGTCACCTATTTAAATCTCTCTCCATGTAATTTGGATTAATTTAGTGTAGGTTATTTTATCATTTGTCCCCAAAAAAAACACTATAGTCCATAAAACGGCTTCAAACTTTATGTAAACAATTTTTTTTATTATTATTAAGAGGAGGGGAAGATTGAAACTATTATATTTATTTAAGAGAAGCATAAGAGTTCGAAACTATTACATTCAAGAATCATGTATCTTTACATAAATTGGACAAATATAATAGTATATTATCATTTTATTATAATCAAATAAATAAACAAATTTATGTTACACTCTAATGCCATTAGAAATGTGATTGTGTAAATTTTAGTAGATTATATATAGGAATCCTATGAGATCTGGAAGATCTTTCCTTGTACAACTTTATTAGTTGGAGAGAAAGTTTATCTCGCTTATTAGTATAAATAAATGCACAAAGCATGAAGAATAACACTCACAAAATTCCTCAAGTCCTCCTCTGTCTTCTCCTCTCCCTGGCTGATCTCCCTCGTTCTTCCCTCGTTAAATTCATACTACAATAATACAGTGATATATTGACATATATTGAACTTTTCGGGTGAAAGGCTAAGTGAAAACACAAAATGAGTCCGCCATAATAATTTGGAGACGAACAAAAAACTCTAAACTTACAAGTGAAGAAACATCAAATTACATAAAGAGTAACGAGGATCAAGAAAAGTAAAGGAGGATGGATGAATGAAGGAGGATGCATGCAAATAAACTACTTGGAAAAATTCTGATTTTATATGTCCCACATCTCTCACCATAGTTGTTTCATCCTTTTCTCCATGTTCTTTGTCACATATATTTCCTTACTGTATCTCTGAAAATGTAAATTAAAAACTAAATAGTTATAAATTAGGTGCTAAATAATTTTCTGTTTGACTTATCTTTTGAATAACGTCACATAAAATATGATGAGTTGAATAGTATAAAATTGAAAAGGAGGATGCGTTTGGTAAGGTGTTGGGAAGAATTAATAAAATAATATGTTGATAAATTTAGGGAGAACTTCTTGTATAAGATATTATATGAGATTAAGGTCATAGCCTCTTTAATGCTTCGAGAAAAGATGAACAACCAAAGCCACAAGAAAGTTATACAAAAAAGATCGGATCAAGCATAAATCTGAAAAACAAATGTTTAGCACGTTTATTGTTTCTAGAAGCTAGCACTTTACTCGAAAACAAATGAGAAAGACCCATTTCCATGAAGAAACCGTAAGATTAGTTTTGGACGTGGGGCTCATATCTGTGGGTTCGTAATTGTAGAGTTCTTAACCTACTTCATACTATAAAATTCAACTGCATTATGGTAGTGGTATTATTCTCCACTTTGTAAGTGGTAGCTCTTTCATTCCCTTGAATGGCGAGTTTGTTACTCAATTATGTGTCTTAGTCCAAATTTCTTACTCGTTAGTGTAAATAATATTATTGTGAATTAAGAGCTTTTCAGTTATATAATTTCTTGCTAATACCATGGAGTATTGCAGATTTGTTTTAGAGTTTTTGTTTTTTAACAAACGATACAACCACACACTATACTCATCTAAATTATGAGGACGGAAATTCAAATTTGTCGATGGAAGAACGCACATATTGCTTGATGAGTCCATATTATTCTATATATTTTACTCTAATCTTAGTATTAATTTATTGGTTATTTTGGTAGAATTTTGATACTTTGTTATATATTTCTAATGTAGGACATTCGACTTCCTTTGGAGCAAAAAGTGATCAAAAGGATGAATTTTGGGAGTGATTCCAATTGAAGGATGTTCGTGTGCCTTTTAAGATGATTGTATCAAAATTCCAGATTTTTCTACTAGGCCGTTTGACCGCGGCGATGAAATTAAGGCCCAGCGTGCAGCTTTCCCAGATTGATGTTTCTGGACGTTTTGGGTATTTTGAGGAAGATTCCATTTGAGGATTTGTAGGGGACATCTTCAGCTTTAAATAGAGAGCTTTTGGGATCAAATCGGAGTTGATTTGGTCAGTCAAAAGACTAATTTTCTGAGAACTCCGAATTCTAGTTCAAATAGAAAACCTTTAATTTTCTGTTTTATTATTTTATTATGTTTCCTAGTTTTATTTTAAGACCTTTTACTAGGAGGATTTTAATTAGAGTAGTATAAATAAGGCTTGTTACCCATTAGGGTTCTTTACGCAACATTGGGGGAACGTACGTGGAGAATTTAGCTAGGCTTTGACGCTTTGTATTTTGAAGGTGTTTTCTATCCTGTTTCTATTTCAATAAAATTCCTTTTGTTTTATGGTTGTTCGTAACTAATTTCCGTTTGCTAGGACGATGCCTTAAGCCTTAGCATGAATATGTAGTTTTTATTTAATTGGTAATGATTATACATGCATGCTTTGAATTATTAATCTCGGTGCTTTAAAATGTCTTTATATCTTAATGCTTAGCTACCATTAGGATGTTTAGATAAGTAATCGGATGCAATTCGGTCGGAATGCCACCGGAGAATTGAGTATTGCTTCTTGTGATTGATAGTTGTAATTTCACCTAGGCCGAATGCCACCTTTTAGGGGTTGCATGGTTTTCAAAGGATTTTCACAAAGCATAATGAGTCATGCATGTTTATATTTGATCTGAATGCCACAGACAGATTGCATATTTGATATACGTTCTAGCTTGAATGCTACAAGTAGAATATGCATAAGGAAAACCTAACCTTCAAAGTTGCATGTGTAATTCATAAGTAATTGGTAAATCTACATAGGATTGTTAAGGGGACGGCGGAACCCTAGGCTTTTACAATTTGGTTTTCAATACGTTTTCCTTTGTTTTATTTACTTTGCTAATTTCTTTATTCATTTTAATTAAATTCGTTTTTATTATTTTTAAATTCAAAATCAACTTTTTCCAATCTTTGTTTTTAAATAATTAATTAAGATTTGGTATTTACATAAATTATTTATTCAATCCTTGCGGAAACGACCTTGCTTGAGCCGTTTATACTACGACAACCTTGTTCTCTTGCAAGTGTTTTTAAGTGTTTTTATCCCTACTTTTGCAGGTGATAAAAATACCTATCATTGCTCTAATCAACTTTACTAAACTAATGTCCATAACTTTTTAGGAGTTATATGTAGATGAACTGCAAGTACTCTTCTCCATAAAATAAAGAAGAAAATAGTTGTTGAAGCTTAGTACTGCATATTAACTGAAGTTTAAGGTTTCTACTTTCAAGTGTCAAAGCTTATGGCATGGATGATCCATTCTGAATGTATTTCCAATTGATTGCCAAGTAAATAGACGAAAATTAAACCATCTCAAATATTCAAATCAAAGACTGATTCAAAATTTCTACAATATTTGAATTGGTTATATTTCCGGTATTCTCTTTTGAATTTTAAAAGTAATATTAAATGGTTGTTTGTGTTTTTTAAGGAATATGATGAATCTGAAATATTCAAGAACAGATTCATATATAGAAGTAGGTAGGCTTCTCGATCAAAAATGTGATCTCTCTAATATTATACTCGTGTATTATATAGTTATATTTGGCTTTCAGCTAAAATCTTCGCTAATAAGGATAAAATAACAAAAATATCTTTATTTTTTGTGAAATCATTTTGACCTGTTGTTTTGACACACCCCAACCGAGGTCGAGACGTGCTGGTTGTCACGTGAGAGTGACATAGCCAAAATGCGCAACAGAAGTGATAATAAAAGAAATGTGAATAAATAAAAAAACCTAAAACCAAACTTTTCTAAACTAATAACAACACGTAGGTACATAAGGATAATGCTTAGAAGCAGTGAAAACAGATCTATGCCCTATCAGGATGTTCAACCATAAAATGTGTAAGCTAGGTGATACGAATCAATGTAGAATAGTATGTCAGCCGGAGTCACCTAATGTGAACTGTACGGCTGAATCTATAGCTCATCAAGTGCCTGCACATGAATCGAAACCACCTATTGTGGCATGTACGATAGGGCTGGGTGTAGATAAGTATGCTCAAGTGCTATGATCACGTGAAGGCTGTGCAAATAATCGCAGGTCACATACGAGTCGGAACCACTTATTGTGGTCTGTACGACAGGGTTGTGCAATCCAAGGTGAGCGTGTGGTGTAAGAGGTGAACATCACATGAAGGACTGTGCCCTTGCCACGGGTAGGAGCACTAACACTGAGGTGCAGGATAATGAGCTCAAAATACATCAACTTATAACCACACACAACGTAACCAATACCATCATGATGTACTCACCTGAAGCTTACCTAAGCCTCCGCAGTCTCATCCAATACTATGCATAGCTATACTAATGCAATACTAGCAAATAATGCACATATGGCATGACATTTAAAACATACGTTCATTTAAAATAGTTTTTGGGAATCATAAGCATATATACATATATATATAGAAAACAAAAGCCCACTCAGTGGTAAGTAGCAGGATCGTAGCCCCCAAGTCTCACCTGACCACACTCGTCCTCCGGGTAAATCTCACCTATATGCAAAATAACTAATTTTACATTAATTTTAAAGCACATACACATACGTTGCTCAAATAAGGTGTTTGAATATACCAATGTGACCTACTCAACAACACAAACACCCTAATATTTTTAGATTAATTTCCTGACGTCTCACACACCGGCAATGCGCAGTCACTTGCCTAGCACTCTGACGAAATCCTTAACAACGTTAAGGAATATTTCGTTAAATAATAGAATATTCTAGTTAAAAACTAATAGAGTTACATGACGTCGTAGGTATATTCTGTCAAAGTTGATGGAATATTCTCCTTCTTCGATAATGGCTTCGTCAGAATCTATTGCCTGCCGCCGTCTGTGCCGTCGGTTTCTGGAAAATCTTAAAACTTTAATATCTTCATCATTTTTCAACCAAATTACACAAATTTTATATGGATTTGAAGCTCTCAACTAGAAAAACACAATCTTACCTATTTGAGGTCCTAAAACCAACAGAAATTGGTCGGAATAAGGCTTGGAACAACTGGCCAACCTGCAACTCCGTGTTGTCGCCTATTCCAACGTTCAAACTGCTCCAAAACTAATTTAGGGTCCCTATAAAATTGATTAAGACCCACTTCGAACCTTTAAACCTTAGAAAAGACCATGATCCCGACATAGAAAAATACACCTCGCCAATTCATCAGGTCCATAAAGGCTGCTGGAGCATTCGTTAACCCGAATGGCATTACAAGAAACTTGTAATGACCATAACGAGTCCGAAAAGCTGCCTTCGAAACATCCTCACACTTAATCTTCAACTGATAATACCCAGATCTCAAATCAATCTTTGAAAATACACAAGCACCCCGAACCTGATCAAACAAGTCATCAATACGAGGTAACTGATAACGGTTTTTAATCGTCACCCGATTCAATTGTCGATAATCAATACACGACCTTAGAGTTCTGTCTTTCTTTTGCACGAACAATATTGGAGCTCCCCATGGTGAAGTACTAGGTTGAATGAAACCCTTATCAACAAGTTCTTGTAACTGAGTTTTCAATTCTCTCAATTTTGCAAGAGTCATTTGATAAGGAGTTAAAGAAATAGGATCAGTACCTGAAATTAAATCTATAGTGAATTCCACCTCATGGTCTAATGGTAGTCTAGGTAAATCATCAGGAAAAACATCAGGAAAAACATCAGGGAAATGTCTAACTACCCGAACATCATCCACACGAATAGAAGTATCCTAATTCAGCACCACATGAGCTAGATAGCCCTGACATCCTTTCCTCAATAGTTTCTTCGCTCTTATGGCCAAGATAACACTCTGTCTCAATCCACAACGCTCACCACAAAAGTAACCACAGGTAAATCCAGCTGATGGAAAATGACAACCTTTTCATAACAGTCCAACTTGGCATGATTGTAATGTAACCAATCCATGCCTAAAATAACATCAAAATCGACTATATCTAGAGGAACAAGATTAGCTGGCATAATGACTTCCTCAACGATAATAGGACATCCTTGATACTCCTAGCTAATATAACAAGTCTTGCCTCTGGGCATCGAAAACTCTAATTCATAACCAAGGGTTGTGGGGTGTGGTTGAGTCTTTTGAGCAAACATATGAGAAATAACAGAATGTGTGGCACTTGAATCAATTAATACTCTAGCAAAATAACCAAGAATATTCAACGTACCCATAATCAAATCAAGATTGTTCTGAGCATCTTGCAAAGTGATATGATGAACATGGCCTTGCGCCTGCTGCCGGTCTCCATAACCTCTATTTCCCTGATGACCTCGTCCTTGACTAGGCTGATTAGGTAGACTCGACGAACCAGCACTACTAGAAGCAACATCAAAGTTCTGAGATGGTCCTCTAGTGTACCACTGTGATCCACCGCCTGATACAGTGTATATGGCGCATAACCTCCCTGATATGGTGGATAATCACCCTAGTAATATGGATATGCTAGATACGGATAAGCTCCCCTAGAATACAGAGCTACATCCCTTTGATAGTGGTAAGCACCAGCATAACCTGTCGGAGTATAGCTACTAATCCCCTGAATCTGCTGAAGAGGTACGGTTGGTGGTAAAGCATGAGGTTGGGGCTTTTGCTGATTTTGTGGACACTGGTGAGCTCGATGCCCCATCTGGCCACAAGTGAAACATCCACTACTACCTTGTCTACACTCCCCAAAATGACGATTATTACACCTACGGCGTAGTGGAGCAGCAAGACTGTTAGGATTCCTCTGCCAATGAAATCGGGAACTTCCTGTGAACTTGCCGCCCCTCCGCGGTGTAGCAAAATTCAAACCACCACTGGATGAACCAGAACTAGCACCACCTCGCTTAAAGTTATGTGTTTTACGAGGACCGTAAGATGACTGCCATTTATCTTTACGAGTATTATTTTTCTAAGCATTACCTTTTTCTTCCTCCTCATCACTATCATCTGGAGCTTTCTCGAAGCCCTCAACCCAAAGTAGAACCTCGGCGAACTCCTGATATGTAGAACAGAGAGTCGTAGTCGCCATAGAACGCCACTTCTTTCGAGTACCCCACTTAAAACGTTGAAGCATTTCAGTAGGATTTGCAACAATCTCCAGAAAATATTGGGACAAATCAGTAAACTTCCAATGATACTCAATAGCTGACATTTTCCCTTACTTCAGATGCGAGAATTATTTCCTCTTACGATCCAAATACTCCAGAGGTATAAATATCTTTTGAAATAAATGCTTAAAAACATCCCAATTTGCGGCATCTTTCGCTGACAACTAGAAATATTCTTGTCTCCACCATGATGCAGCCTCCTCGCCCAAAAACCAAGTGGTCTTCTCGACCCATCTGTCCTCAGGAAGATTTCCATGTCGCTGCATCACTCGAAAGGTTTTCTCAACATAATTGATCCAACGCTCAGCTCCCTCAGACCCCTCAGTACCAACGAAATTATTCAACTTTAAGTTATATATAGTCTCCAAGAGAGTCCTCTGAGGTGGACGGAGTGAGGACTGAATAACATTAGCAATAGCTTCACCAAGTTGTGCAATATCTGGAAAATTAGACTCAGATGAAGTACGTGGCTCTCTACGAGGCGGCATGGTTCTGATATCAAATATCAAAATGATTAGAATGCCAACAAAAGACAAAGGACTGCCAAACCTTAGCTCTGATACCAAACTGACACACCCTAACCGAGGTCGAGATGTATTGGCTGTCACGTAAGGGTGACGTAGCCAAAATGCTCAACATAAATGATAATAAAAGAAATGCAAATAAATAAAAAAACCTAAAACCAAACTTATCTAAACTAAGATAATATAAGTGAGTGAAGGTACCAAGCAAGTTCTACAAATATCAGAGCATAGGTAAACAAAAGTGTAGTTGAACCAACTAAGTACTAATTATACAAACAGGGAAAAGATCCCTACTTATTTATAGAGATGTCAGAACAGCCGTGAAAATCCTCATGAGCCATCAAGGATGACCAACTACCTAGAACCTGGAGGGGTGCAAAACAGAAAACATGAGTGGGCAAAAACAAAGCTTTTGAAAACACAGTTGTCTTTGTGAACACTAGCATATGGGCACACACAAAGTGTGTGAGAAAATTTTTTAGTTTTGTTTTTGAAATAGAAAAAGAGAGGAAAAGAGTGATAAAGAATTTGGGAATAGGAAGTTTTTTGTTTTTATTTATTTATTTTAATTAGAGATATGTTAGGATTACATGTAGGTGAGGCATTGAAAAAAAAATAGCAAAATTTGGTTGTGTGAAAATACATTTCTACCCCATATTTCTTATTCATGTTTTGTTTTAATTAGAGGGTTAAACTGGTAATTTTATAGGATTTTGGTTGACAATGAGTGTTTTATTAATTAGTAAAGATACTAACCCCTCATTGTAAAACCCGTACAATTTCCCAGAAAATAACAACACGTAGGTACATAAGGATAATGCTTAGAAGCAATGAAAACAGAGGTATGCCATGTCAAGATGTTCAACCATAAAATGTGTAAGCCAGGTGATACGAATCAATGTAGAATAGTATGCCAGCTGGAGTCACCTAATGTGACCTATACGGCTGAATCTATAGCTCATCAAGTACGCCTGCACACGAGTCGGAACCACGTGTTGTGGTCTATATGACAGGGCTGGGTGTAGATAAGTACACTCAAGTGCTACGATCACGTGAAGGCTATGCGAATAATCGTAGGTCATCTATGAGTCAGAACCGCCTATTGTGGTTTGTACAATAGGACAGTGCACCAAACTTGGATCCAAGGTGAGCATGTGGTGTGGAAGGTGAACATCACGTGAAGGATTGTGCCCTGACCATGGGCAGGAGCACTAACACCGAGGTGCAGGATAATGAGCTCAAAATGCATCAACTTATAACCACACACAGCACAACCAATACCATCATGATGTACTCACTTGAAGCTTACTTGAGCCTCTGCAGTCTCGCCTGACCACGCTCGTCCTTCGAGTACGTCTCATCTATATGCGAAATAACTAATTTTACATTAATTTTAAAGCACATACACAAACCCTAGGAATAACTTCTCATACGTTGCTCAAATGGGGTGTTTGAATATATCAAAGTGACCTACTTAACAACATGAACACCCCGATATTTTTAGATTAATTTCCTGACGTCTCACAGGCCCTCACGCGCAGGCTAAGGCACGGCCACACGTGCCTGCCATGCGTAGGCACGTGCTTGGCACACTGACGGAATCCCTAACGGCATTAGGGAATATTCCGTTAAATAGTAGAATATTTCGTTTGAAAACTAACGGATTTACTTGACGCCGTCGGTATATTCTGCCAAAGTTGATGGAATATTCTCCTCCTTCTTAGATGGCTTTGCCAGAATCCGCCGCCGACCGCCATCTATGCCGTCGGTTTCTGGAAAATCTTAAAACTTTAATATCTTCATTGTTTTTCAACCAAATTCCATGAATTTTATATGGATTTGAAGCTTTCAACTAGAAGAACACAATCTTACCTATTTGAGGTCCTAAAACCGACGGAAAGTTATCGAAATAAGGCTTGGAATAATCGGCCAACCTGCAACTTCATGTTGTCGCCTATTCCAACGTTCAAACTGCTCCAAAACTAATCTAGGGTCCCTATAAAATTGATTAGGACCCACCACGAGCCTTTAAACCTTATAAAATGACCACGATCCCGACGTAGAAAAATACACCTCGCCGGAGCTCGTGAGTTCTCAAATTCCCGACGTCTATTCCTCAACCTAAGGGTACCAATGAGTTCGTGGGGTCGAGGTGAGTGTGATGGTAGTGATTTCTAGTTCGATCCATGATTTTTTTATGATGATTGTGAGATAAAGGTGGCTCAGATGTACGGAATGAGAAGAAAGAACAACAAGGTCCGAGAGAAAAGAGAAAGTGAAGGTGTATGAGTGCGTGATTGGGCAGAAGGAAAAAGGAGAGAGATTTTTAATTTAATTGGGCCAAAGAAATCATGAACTAAGGTGACTGGTGGGTAAGGTATAGCCAACCCATAAAAATATATTTCTACCCATTTACACACTCGTGTGTTCATAACTTCTTCGTTACAAATCCGATTTGGCCCTGGGTCACATCAACGCACTCATGGCGTCTAGTACGATTTAAATACGATGGTAGAAATAATAATTTAAAACTACATGTGCACATCCACGTCACTAAACCACGAGGGCATTACTGTCACTTAACACACTCGGAGAGAAAAATATATAATAATTCGGGACGGGTCGTCACATGTTTGTTAAATTGAGATTATTTTTGTTATTTTGGTCCTTATTTAACAAAAAAATTTCATGAAATAACCAAAATGATTGATGGTGGACAAACTTAAAAATCAATTTTATCGATATCAAATCTTAAGAACTATTTTAACCCAAAAGCCAGTTACATTTTGAAGTTGGTCCTTAAAACATTGTTCCATTTTTTACGTTTGATGTAATATCAATGTTTGTCACATCTATAACTTTTTTTTTAAATTTCAAATAAAAAGTAAATCTCAAACTTTCCATGCAACGGTCAGTCAACAGATTAAGTGCACTTAGCCAATTTTATTTATTTTTTCAACACAAAAGAATATATCAAATTCATGTTTTATGTGCTATTAGATGGGACAAAATTTTTAGTTATTTATATGTTATGCTTAGGGCCGGCTCTAAGAGTACCAATGTTTGAATAAATGCTTTAGAACCTACTATTTTTCATGTCTAAATAGCAGGGTCTCAACTTGTTTAATCCCACAATTCTTAGACAAAAACTTTACAAATCCTAAATAAAGTGTGTCAACTAATCAAGTTATTTATTACTACGGTCTAGTATTTTTTTTTTTTTTTTTACTTGTAAAGAATTTGTCTTAGATTTGAATCTTATAGATTGTGAGTTTGAATGTCACATTCCAGACTCGACTCCGCCGTAACACGATATTGTCCGCTTTGGACCCCGACCACGTCCTCACGACTTTGTTTCTGGAAACTCACATGAGAACTTCCTAGTGGTTCACCCATCCTGGGAATGCTCTCACCTGAACTTGCTTAACTTCGGAGTTCCTATGGAACCCGAAGCCAGTGAGCTCCCAAAAGGTCTCCTGCTAGGTAGAGATGAAATCTACATATAAGGTTTAGAGAATCCACTCCCTTGAATGATGTGGTATGAAACAATGCTCTGATACCAAATGACATTGAAACCAATTTATCGTTGTATTAAAAAACCACAGTTGTCAACCAAACAAAAAAGGGCAAAACTTTTTCAAACTAAACACTTCATTTGAATCTCTCATTATCTTATATACAATGCCGGCATGGTTTTGAATAGTGATTTTTAGAGTCACAAGCTTTGTCACGCCCCGGCCTCAAAATATTTATTTTCGGGAATTAAGTTTGTTGATAGGCCCAAAATAAAACTCTTGTTTATTTAGCCGCCATTATTCACGACCCTTTGATTAAGTTCCTTAATTCCACAAGTTCTATAACTTTAATTCTCTTATCAAAACATGACAATTTTATTCCCGATTCATTACCCTTTACTTCTCTTAGATCAATTTTTCCAAACTAAGAATAGTTCTCAACTAAATTGTAATTCTCGATTATTTAACCTCATTTAATTTTATCTTTGCATTTAACTTCTCGTTAGACTGCTACGTACCCTAAATAGGGATCAAGCCATTCGTAGTTCACATATACAAAAATTCAAACCAAATCCAAATATATTCATTTAATCCAACATATACCACAATCATATTAATATTCAAACCACAACAGTTAGGTCTCAAAAGCATAATTAGAATAATGAAATTCACCTAAAAACACAATGTCGGCTCCCGCCGCGGGTGGCCGTCGGCCGCCTTGGTTCGCCAGAAAATTCAATTATTTCTAAAAATTCTCAAAAATTATAGAAATGAAGATCTCAAAAAGTAAAGCAAACTTTATACCTGCGGCCAAGTCCAATTTGCCCTAGAAAGGCTCCAATTTTCCTCGAACCCACCAAAAACCCTTGATTTTGGGGGTTTTTTATTCGACTCCACAACATCTCCGATGCCCAAACCAATGCATGGGCTTTGTTCCTTAGGTTGAGGAGAGCCTATTGGTGGTGGTGGTTGAAGGAAATTGTTTTAGGTTTTGGTGATTCGAAGTTAAACCCATCGCACCCTTCGAGGTGGGTTTTGTAAAATCAAAGCCAAATTCTCTAATTTTTGGGGTGGAATTGATAGAGGGATTGATTGGCCTCGAGGTAAAGATCATTTTGACACCAACCTCGCCGTCCATAGTGGCCGGAGTTGGGAGATAGAACCGGGTCGGGTCACGGTTCCTCAAGGGGATTTGTTTCCCCTTCCTTTTTTTTTCTCTCATTTCCCCTCCTTTCTCTTCTTTCCTATTGGCCCTCTCCCCTCATCCTTTCTCTTCTTTCTCCCCTTTCTCTTCCCCCCTTCTCATCACAACCGTCCCTTCTTTTCTTCCCTAAATCTTAGCCACACACGTGGCTTTCCCTAGATTTGGCTCAACGAAATCCGGAGCCTTCTCAAAAATAAATTGACCATTTTGTCCTCGACTTTAAACGTTAATAACTTATTGGTTATAACTCCGCTTCATGAACAGTTTGTGCCTACGCGTTCATGAGATCAAGCTCTATTCAAAAATATAAATTGTGGCTTCAAAAGGCCTATGGATTTTAAATAATTAATTCCCAAACTTCATAACTAGTTTAATTTAAAACTAAACTTAAATGAATTAATATAATTTCTCCAAAAATAACATAAAATCTCAATAATACAAAACTGTAAATTATAATAATTTTTTAAAACAAAACTTTAAAAGTTCTTGATTAAATTCTTCATAACCGTAAATCAATTTATTTTCAATTTTTCTCACATATTCACAATTATGAATATAAAATTCATATATTTAAATTTTCAAGGTATTACAAGCTTCACCAAAAAAAGTGAACAAAAATGCCCCTCAAACAAAAAACTTCAAAGTAGCCCAAAATAATGCATCAAATGTGGCAAGGGTATTTTTGTTATTTTATTTATTTATTATTTTTTTTTGTACAGTTTTTAATGTGATTTAATCAATTGTTCATTAAATATTATTTTCTCTATTTTTAAACATGTTCAAAATATTTTAAAAGACGTGTAATGCAGGTTATAAAAAAGATATTTCGCACCCACATAATAATGTTATTAAATTAGTTGTCAAATTATTTTATTTTTTTTAACAAACGATATTATTTATACTGAGGGGGAGGGGGCGGGCTTAGCCTCACAATGGGTTAGCAATAATGTGATTCAATCAATTGTTTATTAAATATTATTTTCTCTATTCTTAATGTAAATTCAATAGAGGCTGATTTTATTATGTGAATTCAGCTGCTTTGATTTGTTTATGAGGGGTTTCTTCTAACATGATCTAAGATTATTCATTTACTTCAAATATTTGACTTTCTTTTGTCAATTTACGCATATAAGTACATTTAAAACGTGTAAGTTGCGCGTATCACACCGTGATTCAAATAATGCCTTCTACACGCGCGTGAGCGCGTGCATGAAGACTAGTTAATTAGAAACACAACACAACACAACACATTCCAACCAAGTACAAAATACAAATAATAGTAATACAATTTTTCAGTATGCTGAAAACACGATTCGTGTATTCAGTGTCGTTGATTATTGGGTTAGATTCGTTAACTCATATTTTACATCATCTTATTTTTATTATCGTATCAAATTTACCCCTTTCAATTTTCGACCATCGATGATGAAGTATAGAATGACATTTTGTAGTGTTATTAACAACTCACAATATATACATATATATATATATATTATGTGTGTGTGTGTGTGTGAATGAAATTTTGTAATGTTATTAACAACTCACAATAGCTTTGTGTTTTTTATTTGTTTTTATATATAAACGCTTGTACTATAAGTAATAAAAGATAGCCGATACAATTAGAGGTTGTGCATTTACCTGATATTCGAGGTTCAAAACATCAAAAGAAAAAAATAATGCTTAAAACAAACCAAAAAAATACTCTTTCATATTGTAAACAAAACATAGTTAAAGTCATGTCTCGTAGGGAAAAAAAAATAACTTCAAACACAAATTTATTGCACCCAATTGTTAGTGCACCATTGAGTAAAATGATTTTTTTTCTTGAAAATTTGATTCTTCAAATGTTTTTCACTAACATTATTAGTTTCGACAAGAACTAAAATGTTAAAGTAAAATATAATAATTTATTCTCTCGAAAATTTGATTCTTCAAATGTTTTTCACTAACATTATTAGTTTCGACAAGAGCTAAAATGTTAAAGTAAAATATAATAATTTATTCAGAAAACAAAATAAGTTTGTATTCAAATGTGTGTGGACCTCATGATATAACAATAAAATCTCTCTAAAGTTATATTATTGAGACCAAATCAATTTTATAACTTTAGGGAGGTTATTACCTAATATATGTTTAATTAAAAAATATTTTTATTGGCATTTTTATCCTTAATGAATGTTGTATTTCTTAAATAGGATTATTTGGGCGACGTATTTTATTTCTTGCATGTATTTGTACTCATGGACAAGTACAATTGTGTACAGGCGTGTTTCCTTACAATGGGGACAAATTTTTGTACTCATTTACAATTGTAACTATATAGAGGCGTATTTCCTTAAGATGGAGACGACTTTTTTTTACTCATTGACAATTATAACAATATAAAGGCTTCTTTTTTTTTTTTTAAATGTGACTTAGAAAAATTATAACTTATTACGATATGGAATTTATTCCAATACATCAAGTTAGGACAATTTTTTAATGACTTTATGTGGTTATTTCATTATAGAGTATTCGTTTGAATGGTAGTTTGCTTTATGTACCTAAAATTGTAGGACTGGTAAGCTGGATTAGGCCTAGCACAATATGAGACACGAACCTCATGGCATGCATTGATATTTGTCTGCTTTTTCTTTTATTTGACTACAATTGGTTATTAGTCATGTTAGTACTACAAAGGAACTAAAAAGCTAGGGGGCCTAATTTTTCTTATATTTGATTATTTTCTTGAAATTTTAAAAAACTCTCCACATTCAAAGTACTTTTCATAGTCTAGTTAGGCTCGAGTCACCCTTGTATTAATTCAAGTCTAACACATACTTTAGAGTCAAATTTCACCCTCATAATATATTTCGGGGTAATAACTGAAAAGAAAAGACACCAATAGATATTGTGATTACATACATCCCCTCCAACATGGTGGGTTTGAGTCTTTTTCATATCCCCTAATTTGGATTGGATCGACCATGAATTTACGATTAGTATTGTATGTTCAATCTGATCCCATCCGCAGTTTAGGTGTGAAGATTAACACAGACAGGGTAAAATGGTCAAATTACGAAGGAGCATATATGGATACCCATAACACAAGGGATAATGGAAGGAGATATCCTCCGAATCTTTGTGTTTGGAATTTGTAGAGGGAGACATCCCACCATTCAAGAAAGAGAAAGAGAATCGAGTTGTTCAAGTTTTTGAGTTTTGAAAGTGGACGAGTGAGATGTGTCAATGAAGACCTTAGTAGTGAAATTAAGAGATTCGAATCTCGGTCTTTGAGCCCCAAACACAGAGCTCCGAAGTGAATTGAGATGGCCTTCGAACACAAATATCCAAGTGGATCTCAATCCAAAGGATAACCATGAAAGATCACCATCAGTGCACACACACATATACAAATATATAACATATGTAAATACATAACAAATTTAGTTGAATAATTTAAAATTTTTCGTTCATGGTATGTACTGAGTAGTTTAAAAAATCAACGATTTATATATTGCATAAAAATTTAATTGATCTTCCAAACGTTTAAACCTTGCATAAAATATGTTCCTTAGTGATAATTTGAATGTAAAACAAAATGCAAATAAGTTAAAAGGAAGGCTTCTACATCTTTCCATAGATGATGACTGAGAGAAGATGTAGACATCGAATCTCTTGAGAATAAACTAACACCTAAATCCTAGGTGTTTCCCTTGTTTTTCTCTCCTTGCTTTACAATAATATGACATAAAATTCCAAATAATAATAATGAAACAAAAAAACTACATGAAAAATACATGGGTATATTTATGATATTAAAATCAAAACCTACTAACAAGAAAAATATTCTAAATTAATAAAATAAAAAAAGAAAACAAAAAGTATTCATGAAAGTATCAACTGGATGAGGATGGATTGTTGCCGGAATGAGACCAAGATGGTGACTGGAAATCAGACGAACCACCCTGGTTCGGATTCTGCGGCTGCCGGAAAAAACCCAGTTGTTGATTCTGCTCAGAGAAAAACAGAGGAAATGAAGCAGAGGAGGAGGCAGAGGACGGCAATGCAGAAGATGGAGTGGTTGACGATGCAGGTTGTAGAATAGAAGATTGAAGTGATGCCAACTGGGAATTGTAGTACATTTGTTGCAGCAAACTTGAGGGCTGCTGTTGTTGTTGCTGCTGTGGATGGAAGTCAGCGGAGCTTTGAAGGAGCTGAGAGTAGTCGAAGTAATCCCGGAGGAGGTCGGAGGAGGGCTGAAAAGCTTGCTGGGAGTGATAGAGTTGCTGTTGTGGTGGTTGTGGAAGCGGCGGCGGCTGCAACGGCTGAGCATATTGTGTTGGTCTAGAATTTGAATTGAAGGTTTGGAGAGTTGGTGGTGGTGGTGGTGGTGGTTGAACGAGTCTGACGTTTTCTGGGAAGTTTAGTTTAGCTCTGTTTCCTCTGAATCTTAGAGCAGCTTCATCGTAGGCTCGGGCGGCGGCCTCCGCCGTGTCGAATGTGCCAAGCCAGACTCTTGCAGCTTTGTGTGGATCGCGTATTTCAGCTGCCCATTTTCCCCACGGCCTCTGTCTAACTCCCCTGTATCTTCTCTTCCTCTCACCAGTTTCTTCAAATGAAACAGATTCTGTACTTGATGGTGTGGTTGGTACCGCTGTGGTGACCGAGACGGTGGCGGTGGTGGGGGCGGTGGAAAATTTTGTACTTTCTTCTGTCACTGTATGCAAAAGAATGTATATTTCATTAGCACGATCTGTTACTTTTTTTTTCCTTCTTTTATGAATAATTTTGGAAAAAATAAATTGAAATATGTAAACTTGTTAGCCTAAAAGCTCATGAAATGTGAGTTTTAATCTTCGCAGAATTATGCTAATTAAGGTAAACAAGTAACAACAAACTGTAAGCACCATGCAATATTAGATAAAAATATATATATATATATATATTAACATGTCAATGGTAGAAGAAAAACTCATTGCAAATCTTCATATCATTTTTCCACAAAAGAAATCTCTTCAAATCTCAAGAGAAAGAGAAATGATAAGAAGGATGAATTTTTTTAATGGATTAAAGATTGAATAAATAAAAGTTTTCACAAGCTAAAGAGGTTGATAAGCATAGGAATTTCTGTTTGAATAAAAAAAACATCAATGAAATATTTAATTTATTTTTTCTTCTCAAAACCTCTGACTTTCATTAAAAAAAGGTTTGAGAACATATGATTAAACAAAACCCAAGTTCTAATCCAAAAAATTAATGAAATAAGGATGAAGATTTGGAATATAGATTGAAAACTGACCAGTTGCACTTGCACCACCAGATGGAGAGTCTGATTGTGTTCCTCTGTAATCACTATAGCCACCCCTAAAAGCTCTATTACCAGATTCCATGAATTGGGTTTGAGCAAGGGCAGAAGCAGAATCCAAATCTTCTTCGCGCCCTCTCTTTTGACCGACCCAATTGTTAGAAGCAGGAGAAGCACTTGAAGAAAAAGCAGCTGACAAAGGAGAAGCAGATGGCAATGAAGAAGAATACAGTTGGCCGAAACTAGACGTAACTCCACCGCTTCCAATATGTCCCCAGCTGTCGCTGCCTCTTTGTCCGGAAACGACATGCGTCAAAGCCGATACCATCGCCGACATCTCCGTTGCCGCCCGACTGTACCCCAAAAACATTGTCGGCGTCAACGGCGACACATGTTGCTGTTGATACGGCGGCGGCGACTCCAATCCTACGCCGCCATAGTTGATATTATCAATATTTACGGCATTAACATCGGTACTATCGTTTTGAGAGCCAAACCTGTCGTGTTGACTGCCGCCTCCTGAGCTCTTCTGGTTCGCCACCTTCAGTAAGCACTTGTAAAATCAAGCTGCTCTTAGCTTTTTCTGAAATTTTTAGATTTGATGTGAAGTTTTGTTCGACAGAGAGAGAATTTTAAGGCCGACCCAGATCGAGTTTTGACAAATTATGACGACCCTTCTGAAAGCAACGGCCATATATATGTGCGGAGGACCGGGCAGTTCACAATTCAAACTTGACAAGCCGCCATTAAAATAGTGTAAGCTGTGCGACAATCTTGATTCATTTCATCCACCACGCATCTTTCTGATAATATAATTTTTTTTTTTTTTAACTATTTTGTTTTCTTTTTTGTCACAATTAAAACTTGTTCTTATGTAAGATGTGATATGTGCCAAAACCCCATCAAAAATACAGATGACATAAGCCAACTATGAAGGTAGTGGAGATTATGTTCACACATACAGAGTGGTTTTAATTCGCATATATACACACGGGGCTTATAAAATAAGGAGGTGGATTGTCTGCCCTCCCATTTCCATACTTTTTTCATGCCTTCTTGTGATGTATGGTCACGGTTAAGTTACATCAAAAATTTATATTAATTTTTTATAAAAACAATAAAAAAAAGTAATAGGAATATAAAATATTAAAGTGACTTAACAATGACCACACAAATAAGAATGCATGAAAAAAGTATGGAAATAAGAGAGCAGACAATCCACTTCTATAAAATAATGGGTGGAGAAGTCTGTACTTCTTTGAGAGGAAACGAGAGAAACAAGTTCATCTTGGAATTGTGTTCTCCTATGCCGACACGTAATGCCCGGAATAGAATACCTTATTTATCTTATTCCAAAAGAACCAAAGTTGTCTACTTGCATGTAATTTTAATTTTGGTTTTACAGTTCTTGCCGGACTTGGTTGAAACCCAACCATATTATGCACGATGATGTTTGGGTGTGACTTTGATTACATTATTTTTTATTTTTTTAATTGTGAGCAAAACTAATATTGCTAAGTCGTATTAATTTAAACGGTAGGAAATCTGTATAATTCTCCTGCCTAAGCCTAATTAGCTAGGTCTAATGGGACTGGTTTAATTTGTTGGTTACATTCACGTTCCAAACTTCCAACTGCGCGTCTTTTAAATTTTAATACTGAATTTGAAGGCATATGTTAACACCAAAACGATGAATATTTCAATACATGTGTTCTTAATTCGATTAAAAAAAAAGGTGTTGTTAATCGAAGTCTAAACTATTTCTTTGGATGGAATGTTTCCTCTGTTCAAAATGGAATGTTTCCTTTTGTTAATGCTTGACTCTACCATTTCATTTAAAGTTCGTTTGTTTAGTTCAATCAATGTGTAGGAAATTAATAAAAAAGAGTAATGTTTGTTTCACGCATCTAGTTTGATCAAATCATTATTAATTGGTATGACGTAACATTTACCAACACATTTATGGTGCATTTTTGCTCACCAAAGTTTAGGATGGTGAGCGAAAATGCTCCCAACAACTTATACAAAGGTGGGCTAATTTATTTTTCTTCTTGTATGAAGTGAAATTTACATATTGGGAGTAGGTTAAATTTCTGTTTTATGAAATATAACTTAAATATTCTTATAACATGGTTATTTTAACACCACAAAAATTCATCTTTCAAAACTTCGGGTGTGCTAGAGCCTAGGGCAGCTACTAGCTGCCTCGGCCCTTGTTTACAGATCACTTGTCATGTCTTATACACTATTCAGATACAATATATAGAAATGTGATATGACTAACATTATTAATAAAATTATGACTTGTATTTAATTTGAAAAACCATTATGGTGGTTGTTTAACAGTGTGAGCACTTGCATCAGCACTCATTCCTTCTTCTTATGAGTACTGCAAAGAGTCAACCCATTTGCATGAACAATGGTCGTTCGTATAAACACAAAATAAGAAAAAGTCTGCATATTCCCACATACATAATCCTAATTACAAAAGTATAAGCTTGGTAAACTACACATTCTCCTTATCCAAAACAAAAACTATACATTCCCATTTGTTTTTCAGACCAAATCCATTTAGTGTATTTTTCCTCAACTAGAAAAGATGTATTACTAAACTAAGAGGTAGTTTAGTTGTAAGGCTAAACAGCTATTTGCATTTAATTGATTGTTCGCGGGCAAGGAGAAGAAGGTGGTGGTGTTGCTGGGAGGAAGGGTAGTTTAAAGAGCAAATTGACAACAAATTACACCATAGAAGAGGTAAAATCACAAAATTAAAACCACAAGATTAAAAACCAAAAATGAATGGGGGTATGCTATTACTTGTTTTTTCTTAGTTGCTTAATTTACGTATGCAAGCATGGTTTGTTCCCAACATTGTACGGTCAAAGCACGTCTCCCTTTCGGCATTCAATAATGCATGTGGTGGTTGTATAATATTCAGAACTCATATTTAATATCTGATCTAACAAAAATAAAACTCTGCAATATAAAAATCCTTGAGTTGAACTCGTTTAAAAGAGAACACGATTAGCATTCCAACCTAGGTCAAATGATTGACTGAGTCAGGCAGGCTGATACTTGGGCCCGAAACAGGAAGACCCTACATTACCATTTTAAAAAAGGGCTACTTTGATTTCGATCTTTGGTCAACTTAGTTGTTGACTAAAATTTTGTTTGTTAAATAGTTTAATCAAGGTTCTTAAAGCATTTTTAAAAGAAGTTATCAAATCTTAAATAGAAAATCTAAATTTGAAAGCTTATTTGGCACTTTGAACTTCTTTAAAGCTTTATTTTCCATTGAATATGTCAAGTTAAACTATTATTTATTAAATTATTTACTTTTCATAATTGCAGCAAATATTTTGAGAACAAAGTTTATTAATCAACTAAAAATAGGTTTGAAGTTGCTATCAAATTTGACAGCAACCACCTTTGCTATCAATCCACATCACGCCGCATAAGAATTGGTATTTTGGTTGGAAAATATTAACGCTGCCTTTTTTACTGTTATTGTTGGTGTGAACTTTTTTACATCTCTTTTCAAAATGCTCTTAGCATCATTAAGGAACTCAACTCGCATTAAATATCCAACAAGTTATAAAATTTAAACAAACTCAAATAATTTTCAAAACCTAATAACAACTTAAAATTAATAATGGAATAATATTGTTCTTCACATTGTTCTAGCAAAAAAATAATGAACCCACGTAATTAATAATATATTGTAAATAAATATATGTAATTAGCATGTGCACATTTAACAAAAAAAAAATATGAGGTACAAATTTAATTAAAAGTAAAAAAAGAATATTGGTACGAATCTTAAAAAACATTACAAATTAATAATAGAAATATAATGATGATTGTGACAACCAGTTCCTAATTTTACGATTATATTAATTTTAAAATTGTGAATTGACGAAAATGCCCTTAGAGGCGAGATTGTTGACTTTTGTTGCCCTTTTTTGTAACTCATACGAGCTGTCATTTTACTGTATTCTCAATGTACTCGATAGGCATAAGCAGAACTGAAATTGGAGTTACGGTTTAAATTCTACAAAGTTACGAATCCGAAAGACTATTTTTAAAGAAATTACTATTTTATTTATTTTATATTGTTTTATGAAATTATATTATTATTTTATATTATTCTATTATTATTTTAATATTTTCTAATTGGATATTTTGTTAGTTATTAATTTTTGGCCCGTGGGGCCCACACTCGCACCAAACTCTCATCTCCCTTTCTTCCATATGGTGTTCTATTTCCCCATTTCATGGACTGTCTCTCTCGTCTCGTCCATCTCTCTTCCCGATTCTCTCTCTCACTCTAACTCTCCCAAACTCTCTCAACTATCCATCTCTCCTTCTCTGCAAATAGACCACAACACCACCACCAATCATCATTCCGACGAGCACCACCCACGGAACTTCCCCATCACGAACCTAACCCAGGCCGAGACTTCCTCATTTTCTCTCTCTTCCTCATTGCACAGTACCATCACTATGCAAAAACCTGATTTGGCGAGTTCTCGCCATCTCTGGCGAAGGTAAGGCTTGAAACCTTCCTAATAATTCGTAGATCGTGCCTAGGAGTACGTTTGGCTTGTTTTTGAGACATTTTGGTGTTGTTGGGACGTAAAAACCTCTAAGGGAAATCTCCACAGTTTTTCCTGCGATGGACCCACGGGTTGGTATGGCTCAAATACTTACTCTCCTAGCTTTATTATGGTATTTAGATGGCGAGTTTTGGTTAAGTTTTGACCCCAAAACAGAGCTGGGCAAGTTTCCTGGCCAAAATTCCCAGATCCAGCCTTCTTCTTCATTTCGGTTCGGCAAGTGCAACCCACGAGCCCAATTGGGTCCAACCTGACTCGATAAAAAAATAAAAAATAAAAAATAAAAAGAAGATCGAGAAGAAGCCTAAATCGAATCCAAGAACCGGCCCAAGCCCATGACCCGTTAACCTTAACCCAAATTCAACCAGGATTCATTTAAGAATTTGGAGGGAATATTCCAGGGGAATATTTCGTTAACTTTAACAGAATATTCCACCTAAGGATGGAATATTCCGTTAAAGTTAACTGTTAACAGTCAATTGACTTCTGTTGATTTTTTCGGAAACCCTTATAAGCTAATTTCGATGTCCTGAGTCCATTTTTGACATCCATTTAGGGAAATTCTGAAGCATTAACATAGTTGACCACCGGGGTGTCTCGATTGACTTTTTAGGGTTGAGCGTTGGCTTTCTACAAAATTTGCCAAGGACCCTTCTTAGCATATCTCTATGCTCTAATTCCAAATCCGCACTCCATTTCCCAAATTTGATAGTTTTAGTTGAGTTTTACTTATGGATCCCAATATTATGCTTAGGTGCAATTACTATCGAAGACTTCGACTTCCTAGCTTGAACAGATGTGATATTACAAGTAACTGTGTAAGTAGGTCTTTTCTTTTATGTAGTGTGTGTGTGTGTGTATTTGTTAATTTCCATTTATATATTTCATAAAGAATTTGTTATGATATGCCTAGATTAGCTTAACGTTTATAAGAATTAGCGCGTTGATAGAAATTATGAAATTATGATACATTCCTACGGGATGTACAGGTATGCGTATTATTATTGATGCCTTAGTTATATTTATGGCCATGAATAGTATTATGGTAACATGAATTTTCGATTTACCGTTGTATGATTCTATTTACGTTATCTGTTCATTGTGTGCTACACTGGTGTTAGTACTCGCCCGGGCCAGGGCCAATCTTTCACATGTATGTTCACATCGCACTGTACACTCACTTTGGATCCATTATAGGTGCCAGTCCTATCCTAGATTGCTATAGGCAATTAGGACTCGTATGTGATGTGCATAGCGCTAGTCTTCACGTGATTGTAGTACTAGAGCGTAAATCATTATT